ACGGCTCTGTAGAAGAAGGTTGACGATGTACCGGATGTGCATGTAATATATTTGAACAATCTTCTCTCGTACATACAGCAATACAGCGCGTCAATGACTGGGCAAGTACAACTCAAACCGAACTTGCAGGCATATACCTTGTCACTGAATTTTTAAGACAAAGGCAGTGGACTTATATACTGTGACTCGCAGAGTGCACTCCTGGCATTGAACTCACATAGTAGTGACACCTAGAAAATAGTCGAATGATATGTTTTAGCTGCTAAAGAAAAAAGATTTGAAATTAAATTCCTATGGATACCATCACATGTTGGCATCTCAAGGCATGACACTGTTAATATGCTTGCAAAGACAGCCTGTAGAAAACCAGTGGTAGAAATTGATATGGGTGTTTCATTAGCAGTGACAAAGAGAATACTTAAACAAATATCTAATGAAGATTTCACCGACCTAACAAATTCACAAAGATCTGAAAGTTGTAGCATTAAATATTATGATAGATATCGTGAGGAGACATTCACGTATGGGACTAATAGACCAAGAACCCGGCAATGTGATGATATAGTGACCAGAATACGCCTGGGATATAGACGTATCAGGCAGCTTTCTCAAACCCCAAATGTCAGGTACACAATGTGTCAACTTTGTGAAAGAGAAAACATGCACTCTCTTGAACATTATATTGTAGAATGTCCCATATTGACTGACTTTCGTCCTCCTGGGCTAAGGTATGCTGAACTGTGTAATTACTATATGAGTACTGGAACACTTGATGATATATTGGACTTGTACCCAAGATTAACCATGTACTGTATCAATTATACAATGTATGTATGTGATGTAACCATATAACCTAAGCTTGTAAAAGCACCTTAATCACCTTCAGTGATTAAGTGCTTAATTGCACACTAGTTCCTCTATCAGCTATCTCACCTTGTCAGAGTAAAAGAGACAAATGTATGTGAATGCATGTGTGTGTGTGTGTATATATGTATGTATATATGTATATGTTCGTATATGTGTGTGAATGTATGTATATGTATGTGTATAAAGTATATATGGAAGCTGATCAGAATTACATTTCACCTTTTGTAAATGCACATTAATGACACTATGTAAAAGACACATCGAACACTTTATGTAGGGCATACGTAAATCTGTGTATCTATGTAATTACATATGTAGGTTAGCTTAGCATTTTATAAGCACCGAATCACCTTCTGTGGTTGAGTGTTCAATAAACCCCTGAACTATATGTTTAACACATCTCTAACCCTGTCCATGGAGGACAGAAGAAAATGTATATATGTTGTTTAGCATTGTAAATGTGTGACCACGTCTGTGGTAGAAAATAATAATAATAATAAAAAAAGTCCTTTACACCCAGCAGTCCTGTACAGCTAGTAGTCCTGTACAGCCAGCAGCTCAACAGTCATCATTAGAACACAGCAGACCAACACAGCCACCAGACCAACACAGCCACATAACACTCCCATATAATCTGTATGTACAAATCACGTTGCCAAAGTGGATTTATCGGCAGATACAAAAAAAAAAAAATCAAATATCAGTATTTCTATGTTTCTAGCTTGGTTTTATCCATTTTTGTATAAAGTTTGCTTTTCTGATTTGGCATTGCATTTATGTATGATTCTATATAAAGGCTTCAATTTTTTTGCATATTCATATATATATATATATATATATATATATATTTATTTATTTATTTATTATACACACACACACACACACTGTGTATATCTATATAGATAGCAATGTCTGTCACTCCGGGGATAACGGCGAAACACATGACATTAGCTTCACTCAAATTTTCACAGCTACTGATGATTGGGACTTGCATAAAGAATAAGAGTGCCACGTAATATTGCGCAACACTGACCCCCGCGGAAAATCTCGCTTTACTATTATGTTTCGACTCTGAATTAAAATTATTTTTCTGCCGTTCCATACAAATTTGTACGTTGATTACGGCCAAAATTGGAATAAAATATCTAAACATAATGAGTTCATTTAAACCCAAAATAAAATTAGATTTTTTTTTTGTCATTAGACTTTTTGAATTGTGCGTTAATGTCTGTTACACACGTTTCCCACCGTATTTGGTTCCCATGGTACATGTTACACATGGTACATGTTCTCTACGGTACGTGGTCCACGTGGAACATGTGCTCCGCAGTCCATGGTCCTCACGGTTCATGTTCTGCATGGTCCATGTTTCCCCACAGTTCATGTTCCACATGGACCATTAACGATGCAATACAGAGATTTGCAATGTGTGCAACGATGACAAGATGAGAGAACCTTTATCACTCTCACGTACTTCAAAACTTTCCTGTGTTTGCTTCTGTGATGATGCTTGTCAGTGGTTCCCAAGCTACGCAGCCATTTGCGTTCCAGTGCTTGTCTTAGTCTGGTTTAAAGCATACACAACTTAGTCTTTTTTATGTCCAGGGATCTTCCTTGTACTCAAATTCATCTA